TCGTTGGAGCAAATTCCTGAAGAGTCCCAGTGATCGCTTTGCCCGTGGTGGTGGCAATTAAAAACCTGTTGGACTCAACACATTCCCCACTACCAGAATCAGTGTAGTGGCATGATATCTCATTGCCAATATTGTCCCCTAGCGAGTCAGCATCGTATATCGTCGCCGAAAAAACAAACCCAGAAGCAGAAGCAACGAGGGTGCCTATATGTCCAACACGAGAAGTCAGGACCATCCTTATATCCACATACAAAGTTGATCCAGAGATTCTACACTCACCGATCGCAGTTTCTGATGTAGTTAGTGTTGCAGTAGTCGAGGTTCCAGTGCTAATAGTAGCCAATTGTAAAACCTCGCTGTACAAATAGGTTGTCGCAGGGCTATCGCCACTAGTTTCAGTCCCAACTGGTTTAAGCATGATTGTGTCTGCCACCACCCCATTCAAGTCCGCGTCAGTAGTGAAGGGGAGAGAGCCGAATGCGACATATGTAAATTCGCCGGAGGTGGGTACAGCAAATCCTCCTGTTGAAAAACAACAGCACGAGCATCAGAGTCTTCCGAACAGGCTTGAGGTTACACAATACGAACCACGAATTGCAAGGCATAAAATCCACGTGCAAAGCCCAATGATAGGTTTAGACTGAAATCCTAGCATTTTTGCGTCAAGATGAGATGGGAACTGGAGACGTCGAGAAATGAAGGAAAGTTCAGTGACTCTGGGGGAACAACGCCAAAATGTTGAAGGGTATTTATATTTATTCTGAGCAAGTACAATTTTGAGTGGCAGAGTAATTCTATCCGAAAGAAATGGTAAAAGTAGGTAGATATTGAGCATTGAATTCTAGTGCATCTTTCAGAACGACGCGCATCGTATGATATATGCGCTTTCAGGGTGGACTCGGAGAGTGGAAACACAGGATTAAGCTGGCAAATTTAAAGGAATTTACGCTAGGGAAAGGCCGGGGAAGGGCTGTGATGGATTTGAATAATAGCACTTAATTGGCAGTAGACTGGGCTGAAAATGCCAATATATGCGCATTTAACTGGACTGTTGGCGATGCGACTGACTACTACGCTGAATCGCTGTTCTCTGCACGGTTTCGACAATACATAGCTTTGATTGCACTTGTAATGGAAGCCAGCATTAGCCTTTGGGAAAGGTGCTAGAGGCTAGAGCCACTCAACTAACATAATTTGCATTTCAAGATCAGTATGCGGAGCCCATCAGAGCTGAAACGCTGAGGTTTCATGTACACAGCTGGTCGCAGTTCACGAACAGCACTGAAGACATGCTAAAGACTAACGAAGTTCTTAATCAACGGTTTTTGCGAGAGATAATAGATAACACTGGCAAGTGCCGTTGGGTTCGAGACAATTGTTTAATATTCAGTTACCCCAGCTCCCGTATTACTCAAGTATTACTACTAGGGTTGTATCAGAGGCTGCAAAGAAGGGAAGCTATAGCAGCGGTAGAAGAGGGCCAGTAGGTACAGGTGCATATACGGTGCGGTAACGGATAGACAGGAGGACCCTGCATAATGCAGCTACTCAAGCGAAGCCAAAACACCGCACCCATAGCCCGGGGTAGAAGTCTGACAGGCGGACACCATCTGATGCCGCACTATCAGGAGATTCCAGATTCGGATTGGGCGGAGAATTCGAGGAATGGTTTTATACAGGTATGCAAAATTTTTTGCAACGCTCTACCTTGAGGCTCGAATGAAGGATTATAACGTTGTAAACCGAAAAATCACTTTCTTTCTAGGATTTCCTTTTTTGAGTGAGAGATCCACTTGCTGGAGCTCGAGGCTCGGAGTTACTATATGCTCTGATCATCGTCATCCACAGTGCCGTATCCACCGCCTCCTGGAGTTTCTAGTCTAAATCAGAGATGAGTTCATATTTGAGAGATCTCGGATCCCGTCTGACTACACACACTCACCAATTCGAATGTGATTCCCAGCCTTCATAGGTGCCTCATTCTTTCCAGGAGAATTTTATTAAATGTCCCATCATCCAATTTCTTGCAGCCACCAATTCCGACCGCACTTTCCTGGTCCCCCGCCTCGTATACCGTACGGCGGAATGACATGCCGTTTGGAGAGGATTGCAACATCAAGCTCGCGCGTGAATTCAATTTCACGGACTTGGTGTTGACTGTCGATACTGTGGAGCTTGAGGCTTGCAGGTAGGATGGATTGGGCGCGTTGACAGCCGATCACGAATTTCTAGCATCTCATACACCGTTATTGGAGCCAGAGCCAGAGCCAGAGCTCGTCGGAGCAGATTCCTGAAGAGTCCCAGTGATCGCTTCGCCCGTGGTGGCAAAAGTGAAAAGCGTATTGACCTGTTCACATTCCCCATCGACAGAATTAATATAGTGGCATGATATCTCGTCGCCAACATTGTCCCCTTGCGGGTCAACGTCATATAGCGTCGCCGATAGAGCAAACCCAGAAGCAGAAGCAACGAGGGTGCCTGTAAGTCAAACATAAGAAGTTAGAGACCATACCTATATCCACATACAAAATCGATCCAAAGTTTCTTCACTCACCAAACACACTTTCCGATATAGTTAGTGTTGCAGTAGTCGAAGTTCCAGTGCTAATGGTGGTCATTTGTTCAACCTCGCTGTACAAGTAGGTTGTCGCAGGGCTATTGCCACTACTTTCAGTCCCAGCTGGTATAAGCATGATTGTGTCGGCCACTACCCCATCCGAGCCCGCGTCAACGGTATTGAGGGGGAGAACTGAGCCGAATCCGACATATGTGAATTCGCTGGAGGTGGGTACAGCAAAGCCTCCTGTTGAGAAACGACAGCACGAGCATCAGAGTCATTCAGAAAAGCTTGAGGTCGCACAATACGAACCACGAATTGAAATCCACACGCAGAGCCCAATGAGAGGTTTAGACTGAAATCTAAGCATTTTTGCGTCAAGATGGGGAGTGGAGATGTCGAGAAATGAAGGAAAGTTCAGTGACTCTGGGGGAACAACGCCAGAATGTTTAAGGGTATTTATATTTATTCTGAGCAAGTACAAATTTGAGTGGCAGAGTAATTCTATCCGAAAGAAATGGTAAAAGTTGGTAGATATTGAGTATTGAATTCTAGTGCATCTTTCAGAACGACGCGCATCGTATGATATATGCGCTTTCAGGGTGGACTCGGAGAGTGGAAACACAGGATTAAACTGGCAAATTTAAAGGAATTTACGCTGGGGAAAGGCCGGGGAAGGGCTGTGATGGATTTGAATAATAGCACTCAATTGGCAGTAGAGTGGGCTGAAAATGCCAATATATGCGCATTTAACTGGACTGTTGGCGATGCGACTGACTACTACGCTGAATCGATGATCTCTGCACGGTTTCGACAATACATAGCTTCGATTGCACTTGTAATGGAAGCCAGCATTAGCCTTCGGGAAAGGTGCTAGAGCCACTCAACTAACATGATTTGCATTTCAAGATCAGTATGCGGAACCCATCAGAGATTCCATGTACAAAGCTGGCCGCAGTTCACGAGCAATGCTGAAGACATGCTAAAGACTTACTAAGTCCTTAACCGACGGCTTCTGCGAGAGATAATAAATAACACTGGCAAGTCCCATTGGGTTCGAGACAATCAATTAATATTCAGTTACCCCAGCTCCCGTAGGGTTGTATCAGAGGCTGTAAAGAAGGGGAGCCTATGGCGGCGGTAGAAGAGGGCCAGTAGGTACAGGTGCATATACGGTGCGGTAACGGATAGACAGGAGGACCCTGCATAATGCAGCTACTCAAGCGAAGCCAAAACACCGCACCCATAGCCCGGGGTAGAAGTCTGACAGGCGGACACCATCTGATGCCGCACTATCAGGAGATTCCAGATTCGGATTGGGCGGAGAATTCGAGGAATGGTTTTATACAGGTATGCAAAATTTTTTGCAACGCTCTACCTTGAGGCTCGAATGAAGGATTATAACGTTGTAAACCGAAAAATCACTTTCTTTCTAGGATTTCCTTTTTTGAGTGAGAGATCCACTTGCTGGAGCTCGAGGCTCGGAGTTACTATATGCAAGAGAGAGATCAAAGGGTAGATTATGGAGATAATTAGAGTATGGATGGTGTCGAGTGGTTGAGAAGGAATTCAGGCTAGCCATAGTCCGTTTTTGAGTATTTTGGAGGACTCAGGAGCGAAGGTATATTTTGAGGGTTTGGGTTGGTAATTACTTCAATGGTTGGGTTGGGTGGAGATAAATAGTAGTGCCAGAAAGAAATAAAAATCACAGCTCAATGTTTTATACCGCGGCGCTGAGACGAACTGATCCTCTGAAGCAGAAAAGGGTCAGTAGTGCGCTCGCAGGAATATATCAATAGTTGTTGCCGCTGCGAGGAGTCCGCTCGATACTACCATGGATGATGTTGGAGAGCACGATAACATCCCTGGTGGCGAACCGAAAAAACCTCGCTCATTACTTCTGGAGAAGTTGTCAGATAGGAGAAACTAGCGTCTTCTGCCAATCCGTGATGTTCAACAGCTGAGCCTATGCTGTTCGGCTTCCGGCAATAGAGCAATGGCAGCTTCGCACTTTTGAGGTTCATTCCTGGCACGTTCTGCATGTGCGTAGGGCTCATGCTCGGAAATCGAATATTCGCCGGGATGTTATTGGCTTTGAGATCGTTGTAGTAAAGCGTACTAGCGTAGACCAATACGAGACATCGTCAAGTATGCTGGGCTCGGAAGCGCCTAGTAGGGAGTGGCAAGTAGAGCAGCGTCGAAGGGATTCAGACATGGGCTTTGTCGGAGCTGCCCACCACCCGGAGCCAAAAACTGTCACAGTATATGGCAATGCAGACCAGTGACTGTTCTTCATAGCCTGAGGCATTTGTATCATACACCTTCCTTAGTAAGGATTTCCCGCAGTAAAGCGTATTGTGTGGGAGATATTGAATGGAGGGCTAAGTTTGGATGGTCGAGAGGAAAAAGGAAAAAAAAACAAATATGGCTGAGAACAATGTAGTGGGGATACCGCGGATCGAACGGGGACCTTCAGAAGTGCCAGTTGAATGCTCTAACTTCAGTCTGCTGCTCTCCCAGCTGAGCTATACCCCCAGTAATGTATTGGAGTTCAAACTACCACACCATTTACCCCATTCGCATTGCTTCCCAACCCAGGCAAGCCCGCCGCCTTCAAATCCTGCTCCACCTCAAGAATTCATGAATTGACCTTTAAGGTTGTCCCAAATTTTGAGGACATGTTCTAGGAAAAAAGATAGTGGGCATTTCAGCAAGCGACCATGAGGCTTACCCTGCAACTTTCCACTCTTCTTCACATCAAGCTTGACTGGAACATAAAAGCTAGCGTGTTTTCGTGCACTCGTGTCAGACGAGGCTCGGTTTTCGGTGGCCTTTTGGGATTCCTCCAACGGGACTGGGCATATGGAGGACGTGATCAGATTTGAAGGAAAGCAGAAGAACGGAGGAATAGCCCTACCTCCATGTGGACAAAGCCCGGCCCCGAAACTCGCGCCTCTCAGTTAGAGTCCATCGTTCCGACCGCCATATACTCCATATATTATACCCATGAGCTCGGTTGAAGGGTTGCGGTGATAGTACTACAAAGAGTCCGAAGAAACTGGCAACGATCCCCCCCTACGTCCCATCTTCCACTAAAGATCAAAAAATCCGTCAAGGGTAGACCGGAGGCTTTCGATTTTGCGATGAGGACGCAAAAGATGGAGGGATCAATGTGGTCTTCGGAGATGCTCCCGATCAAGAGAAAGTTGCCCATATCGCACTTGTAAGCACGTAACTGAGTTTAAGATGTTTACTAGGAAGATGGAAAGAACAGGAGGAGGAAGCCCGTACGTTTTATGCCATGCAACAACGTTGAACGGAGCGTGAGAGCAGGTGCGAAGCTGGCCGCAAGCCCTATGTATTGAAGCAGAATAATATCGATATGGTTGATTTCAGCTCCGTCTTCACATACTGCAGAGATCTTGTTCTGCATTGAAATCATCGAAGCAGAACGTAAGGCATACTATATCTTGACTGCTGCTCTCATTGGATAAGTAGGATGAAGCCTCGGAAGATTCAGCATTGGTCGTTGGACAGTTGATTCGGAGGAGGGCGGAGGTTGGTCTTGGAACAGATTGAGATGGTGACACGTTCGTTCACTCAGGGAATTAGGAATGCATGTCGAGTAGCATGCACTACACCGTGCATTGAAATCAAGGAATCGTCCCAGACGAGAAGCCAAGCCTATGATAACAAGTCACATTAGTATATAAATTATGCAGAAACTTGAATCGACGCACTTCAGCTTCAGCAATCTGCCTAGTCTATCGCAGTAGGCTTTAAAACATTAAGGAGGCGGAGGCTGAAAGGCTTGATATAACCAGATGAGAAAATTAGTCCCTTCCTGTTCCAGTCAACGGTACAGCTACAAATCTGGTGGATAATTGGGTTGTGGCCGAGTAGCGAGTTTGTTGGTAGGAAGAAGGAAGATCCATTCAGCAATCTGATCAGAGTTCATTCTGCAATGTTTGTTTGTAGGACAAGTGCATAGTGGGTGGAACAGATGATGAGGATTTAAATCAAGCGGGTTTGGCTGGCGCCTATCGCAGTACCGTCATCTATCCAACTCTATCCCACGGAGCATTCTGCTCAAAACTAGGCTCTCGGAAATGATTTTTGCTAGTACAATGCCCATTTCTTCTCTCAGACATCCGCGCCCAGTGCTTAACCTCGCCTCCACGGACAAGCTCAAACACAGTAAATGGAAAGAAGAGAAGAGAATCCACCTAATAACGCGTGTACAGTCAGGGAAAGGCTGTAAACAGCAGCTCTTTTTCCTTCTCACCGCCGTTCGATGAAATAGTAGTCAAAATCGTTGAATTTTAACGCAACCGATGCTTGATGCTATACCTCGCCTTCCTATCATCATTAAATAGTGCCTCGCTTTTGGACTGCTTCCCACTGCAACTAATTGGGCACTACCGCCTGCTCCTCCCTGTTACCATTGGCAGACTATTTTGCTGACCTCCATCGTCTCCGCCTATTAAAACCGGCTTGAGCCCTCAGCCGACGTATAGCTTAGAGTCTGTTCGGCAACAAGAAGCCAGCTTCTGGCAGGCATTATTGCTGTTTTCATAAAAGTTTGCCGCCCTCGACATTTCACTCTCACGGACTTTTTGCATGCTCCGAGCCTTCAACACTTTTTGGTCATATCTCAGTAGATACTGTAGCTATTACCTTCTAATATAGCGCATCACAGTTGTCTAGTCAAGCTTAAGGTGCAACACTAAAAACATCAAAGATCCAAGCACATTTATTTTTTGCCATAAATTGCAATACCGTTTGAACATTCCAGTTATCACAGCATAATAAATTTATTTGGAAGCATTCTGAGTAGTAGAATACATCCGATAGACTACAGTACAGATGCAAATGCACTTTAGAGACACATGAAACAACATTCCGTTCACAGTTGGCATGTTGAACTCGCTTGCTCTTGTGATAACAACATCCATGACCAAACCATTATCAGAACAGCTTTGTACCTCGTTTGGTGCTGCCTTTCTTCTTGGGTTTGAGTCTTATTACTAGCGGAGCTAACACCTTTGTCTTTTGGACTTTAGAAACTACTTTGTCTGAGTCGCTATCCTCATCCAGGTCACCGTCCTCATCATCTTCATCTTCACTGTCTTCACCTTTGCCATCTTCACCTTCATCATCTTTATCTTTGCTATCTTCACCTTCACTATCTTCACCTTCACCCTCTTCATCATCTGAATCAATCTCTGGCTTGTCAAGGAAAGCGGTGGAACTGGCTTTGAAACCCATCAGACGCATTGCAGCTTGCATCTCGTGTTTGCTTGATTTTGCCATTTCAGCTGGTGGTGTAATGTCAGGGCTTGGGCTTCTATTTCGACTTGGTTCAGGGGATCTGGAAGACTGAGGGAAAGAAAGAGAAGGTGACACGGAATCTGGTGTAGCTATGAAATTTGGATGAGTTCTTCAAGGATTCAACTTTGAAAGAAGGCTATGGAACTCACCAAGATCTTCCTTCTTGTTTTTCTGTCTCTTGTTTGCTTCCTTCTGAGCAAGTTGTTGTGCATTCATCATTTTAGACTCAAGGACTCACAAAAGTAAGCAAGCAATGCGGGCACTTTACTGGACCTCCATCACAAGTTCAGTGACCTTATTCAAGTGTATTTGCATCTGTACTGTAGTCTATCGGATGTATTCTACTAATCAGAATGCTTCCAAATAAATTTATTACACTGTGATAACTGGAATGTTCAAACGGTATCGCAATTTATGGCAAAAAATAAATGCACTTGGATCTTTGATGTTTTTAGTGTTGCACCTTAAGCTTGACTAGACAACTACAATGCGCTATATTAGAAGGTAATAGCTACAGTATCTACTGAGATATGACCAAAAAGTGTTGAAGGCTCGGAGCACGCAAAAAGTCCGTGAGAGTGAAATGTCGAGGGTGGCAAACTTTTATGAAACAGCAATAATTACTTAATATAGAAATTTGTTTTTTCTCTTGCACTTGTACGATCTTGTTGTTCTTTTTCTTCTATGACTGACACTCATGTGACGCTAGTGAAGCTGACGCAAGTCCGTGAAGTGATGTGCAAACTTTATGAAACAGCAATAATTATATAGAAATTTGTTTTTCTTGCACTTGTACGATCTTGTTGTTCTTTGCTTCTTTTTTGCGTGGTCGCTCATGGGACCTGACCCAACCTCTCCGGAGTCTGTTCCTGAGGGAAAAACGGCTCAAAATGCGCCCGGAAACGCGCCAGAACCACAAAATAATGGTGTAAAATTGACTCTCACCATTAAACCCAAAAATCCTTTGAAGAAGAAGAAATCCAAAGATAGTACCACATCCGCGACTACTGGAGAAGCAACTATCAACACTTCTTCATCGGGAATAGACACCAAAGCACCAGAAACTGCCAAACATGCAGTTTGGACTGATGCCGATCTCGACTGTCTTCTGGAGTTCTTGTTACAGAATAAATCCAGGGTTGGTGATGGAGGATCATTCACAAATACTGTATTCAATGAAGCTGCAATAGAATGCAATAAAATTCGAACTCAGGGTGCCATGAAAACAGGGAAAATGGTCAAGAACAAGTGGTCATCAGTGCGTCTTCAATCTCGTGCAATCTGCCATTCATTCACTATTTTTTTATAGAGTCTCCGTCCTACCTGGAAGATCTGCCATGCTATCGATGACTGCTCTGGCCTTGGTGGCTTTGACACCAACACTGGTGTTCATGTCACCCCCGAATCCGAGCCCATGTGGGAGGACCTTCTCAGGTCAAACCCCACAGTTCTTCCATACAATTATACAGGATGGAAATATTGGGACAAGATGAAGGAAATCCTTGGTTCTCCACCACTGACTGGGCATCATGTGTTTTGCGCAAACCAAATGGCAGTTCCCTGCGCCATTAGCCCGACTTGGGATATTGAAAAAAATGGCCGTGAGCTTCCAAGCAGTTCACAGGTCTTCATTTTACTTTTTTGTCTGTGCTAATCACTGACTTGTATTCATAGGATGTTGACACCAGTGGTTCACCTGGTAATATCGCTGATGACGCCAATAGTGATATTGAAGTTGAGGTTAGTATTCATTATGTTCGGAGAATTCATTATAATGCTGACAGATACTGTCAAGACTACCCCGAAGCCTTTGACTACAATGCGGGCAGGGAAACATCAAGCTGCTGGCCCACCACCATCGTCTGTCAAGAAACCTCGTCTAAGTGGTAGTGCTCAGGCAATCGGTGGCATGTGTAAATCGATGGATCACTTCACTAGTGCAATGCTAGAGATTTTTGCAGCACCAGCAGAAGCCCCTGTTGCTGTGCTTCCGCAAAGTACTGCTACATCCAGTTCTTCCGTTTCCATTGGAACACCTCGTCGTCATCGACAAATTGCCCTCACAAAGGTTGAACAGGAATCAGACCTCACTGATGATGACCAAGTTGATCTCATTGAGATGTTCGAGAAGGATAGTACACTTGTTGATTCCTATCTTGGGTTTACAAAAGATGTGCTGAGGGAGAGGTGGATTAACCGCAAGT